CTTTCATTGTGATTGGTTAGTTTGTTGATGCTTTCTCCTGTTATCCAGAACATTTTTTTAGTTGGTCTCCAGTTTAGTACATAATTGTACTTTTCCCAGTGTATGAGAAACCAAAGGATACTATTTTGGCTTTTAAATAATGATGTTCATGTTAATAGTTTCATTCAAAATGAGTATTATTAAATTTCAACTGCTATTTATTTTTATGAATATTAGCAGGAAATACTTTGACACAATATTAGTATTCTGCTTCTGATGGACTGTACCCACTACTTTTGCCTAAATTATTAGCAAAATGGTAATCAATGGTTTCCTACCTATATCCTACCCATGTGTCAAAATGGCATCCTGCTATAACAGACAGATTTCCTTGTATCCTCTTGATTTGTATATTTTTACAATGAGGTATTCCTGGATATTTGTTTACTCTCTAAAGTTCCCTTCAATTATTATTTTGACAGTCAAACTGTTCCAGATTTTACTGATAGAAATTCATTCATGCTTTAAGAAGCCATTTGTGTTCCCTTTTCAATTGTGGTCTTTATGGCAGATGTCCCCAAAGTAAAGGACATAGGCACTATAAAGTCCAGACATGCTGACCAAATGCAAAAATTTCAGTGTGTACAACACTTAACACTATCTTAAAATCTCAAAGCCCAGTGGAACAAACACTCCTGGCTCCCTGCAGACATTAAAAATGCACACTAATTGTTACTTTTTGACAAAGATATTTCTATAGAAATAAGGATGTGATGAATGGCAGTTTTATTGAAATGGGAAAGCTGGTTTCTTCTTCCTTCTAATTGTGTTGTATACGTTCAGGGAATTTAGAACAAGACAATGTTGACTACTATAACAAGTTGTATATGCCTAGCAACAATTCTCTGGAGTATATATATGATAAATTTTTGTTTTGCTTCTTCCATTCTAAGTGTGCATATTCAGAATCAACACTCTCCAATGGCTTTAAATTAAACCCTACTCTGGTGATACTTACAAATACAGCTCCAAACAGAAATGTATTTGCTTTTCCCTGTCCAACCCTCACTGAATGCCCTCTTAGCACTTTTACCTTACTTTCTAGTGCATATCACAATTTGCAATTAGAAAATTATGCGTAATTATGTGTAATCATGTATAATCATCTCACACTACAGGACACTAGATACTAAGTGCATGAGGCCAGAGACCAGGTCTCCCATTCATTCAATGCACAGTGGAGCACCTACATAATAGCTGCTTTCGAGAGAAAACTTGTGTATCTAAAAGGTGTTTATAAGGACATAAACCTGCATAGGCATTGCACTGTATTCTCCCTAGCCCACTGGAATTGTCACTGAAAGGGGAAAATTATCCTGATTGATGAAGATAACAAATTAAGAAACAATTTGCAGTTTGAACAGTTTCTGTGATTACAAAAAGAGACATCCTCCACATTTTCCGGCATGCTTCTGTGTGATGCCTCCAATATGTAGGAATATCATTCTTTCCCAGAGGGTTGCAATATGGTATTATTGTATTATGCATCCTTGTCATTGTCTGCTTTAGCATCTAGCAATGTGTTCCATGACCGAGTTTACATGCAATGCTATAAAACTTTTGGATGTGAAATCAGGTGAATTCTATCATATCCTCTCAGAAAAAACTTCAGCTACTAGCAGGGACAATATTTGTTAGTTATGGTAAATGGTCAATTCAAGCTGACACCTATGTGGCAGAAGCCTGAAGCCCACAGTATTTCTGTCACACTGCATTTTGCAGATGATTGTCACCAGTTTATCTACCTAGGCTGTGCAAAGGATTGATGAATGGTTTCTCTTAAGTGAGCTTTTTCAGGCATTAATTGTCTATTGTGAGAAGTATTTATGTTGTTAAAAAGTAATTAATCCTTTAAAACATTCATTCATTCATGCCATTGAGGAGTTAATATTCCTTCAGAGGCTGCAGCTGCCAGGCACAAAGGAGAGGGCAAATACACACTTGTGATCCAAAGGGATGGTCCCTCCCTGCACAGAGCTTGAAATCCACTGACAGTCACAGGTATTTAAAATAATATATTCCTGGATATTCATCAGATTTGGTGATAGAAAACAGATTGTTCTGAGAGATGTTAGCAGGAGGGCCCTGTTTTGGTGTGTGGGGGCATTCATAAGGAATCATCTCTGAAATAAAGTACTTTGAGGGAAAGCTGGTTGATTTATGTTTGGTTATTTGTTTGTCTTTCTGACTAGGTTGACACAGCAGGTATTTTTCTCTTGGAGTTCTAAAGGCTGGGATGCCCAATCTCAAGGAGCTGACAGATTCAGTTATTGATGAAGAGTCTTTTCCTAGATTTGAGGAAAACCAGCATTCTCGCTACATAAAGGGGAGGAAGGAGAATTAGTCTCTCACAGGGATGAGGCCTCTTATTGGTTGTCCAATGCAGAGTGCACTGGAAACCATATACACACTACCAATAAAAATGGACTCAGCATACTTTATTTCCAAATATTTGTAATACGGATGTGTTTGTAATAAAAGTCAGATAAAAATAGTCTATCAACTTGAAAGAGGGAGGGATGTGGGGGGCCCATGGGAGTGTATCAGGAAGGGCTTGAAAGGGAGAAAGTGATGTAATTCTATTTCAATTAAAATGTATTAGATAATATATAAATAATCATACTAAAAAGAAGCAACTTAAGGGAAAAGGGACTTGTTTGGAATCATGGTTTGAGAGCATATAGCACATCATGGCAAGAAGGACATCATGGTTTATGGTTATGTCACCAGGAGAAAAAGATTGCATGAATACACCTCTGTGGGTCACGAAACAGGGAGAGACTGAATCAGAGTAGAGGACACGCTAGAGAGCTTAAGTACTTCCCAGTCCAATTACTCACTTCTTCCTTCAAAGTCCCACTTCCAGCAGTCTTCACAACCTCTCAAAACACGCTGGTCGAAGATTAAATGTTCAGTCCCAAGAGTCTGTTGAACACATTTCAGACACAAACCATAGCAACAGAGAAAGAGAACACTTTGGTGTCTGCTCCTAGAATGAGATTTTTTTAGTTGATTCCCAGAAGACAGAGACTAAAATTTCATTATGGAGGTTAAAATGGAAAAAACAAATAAGTATGCGATACCTGACATACCCACAAAGTAGTTAAAAAGTCCATGTGGTTAAGGCACCATATGCAAGAGGCAATGTCTAGAGCAAGACAGACATTTAGATTGGAGAGGTATTATGCAGAATCTTGGAGATGTTGGAAGGAGTTAGATTTCTACAATTTACTGAGGAAAATGAGAAATCATTACTGATTTTAATCAGTACCAACATATTCCTTTCTATTTGAAGATTCTATGGTTATTTGCAAAGTATTTATTCCTAACACCCAAATCAATTCCTGTGGCATTTTTTGTGGGCACCTTGATGTATCCATACCCAGCTGATATGGGGCAAGGTGATATTTTTCAGTGCTCAGGATTCAGTGTTTCCTGATCTCATCAGTGCCATATTTTCAAACATCTGTGCTTTTTAATTTTGTTAAATGTCCTATTTCAAATGGTACTCCACTGTAGGGTTGGAATGCTGTCTGATGTTTCTAAATGTAATATGCCTTACTAAGAAAATATTTGGCACCAAGTTTTGCCCAGATGTGCATTACACTCTGTTAGCAATGACCTCACCATTAATAAACTAACTATATACTAAATAAGGTAACCTCTATGCAAGGTTATTAATTGTTTAATCTACCAAATTGATTAGTGGATGAAAACTTTGTAACCAAGAGATCTCAGGTACTTATTTATATTTCCCTTCTCAGTATTAGATAAATACTTGTCAATTCTTCTTACCGTAGGGTAATTTTTTCTAAGACATACTACAGAGAATATTGAGAATTACATGCATATATTACAATGTCACCTGGGCTACAATATGGAATATGGACAACAGAAAGAGCTAGAAGCCCTCCTAAGTCTCAGTAACTAATATGAAGATAAAGGCAATCTGTATGGGGTTTAGAGTGGAGATATATACAGAGAGAAAACTCTGAGGGTCTAGGATAGCTAGACATACAGACTTGGGAAAGTATCTTTGGGTCATTTTCTGACCTCATTGGTTACTATTTCACATTCCCAGAGCACCCACAAAAGTTCACTGGATATAACTCTTACATTATGTGTGGATATTTTATAACATCTATTTAATTCATATATAAATATAACCCTTTAAATCCTTAGAGCATGACATTGACACTAGCCATTTCATTTAGACCATGGCTGGCATTTGTTAGTGCAGGTATAATTCATCTATTCTTCTGACATATATTTAATGCCAAGACTAATGGCTCTTAATGGCTACTAAAACAGTCTCTACTAGGCACATCTTCCTCCCTGACTTTTATTACTGTTATTACCCAGCCTGTTCTAGCAACGATACACCCTGTAAACTAGCAACCTTGTTGCTACCTTGTACAGAAATATTGCTCCCCATCATCAAGCTAAAATATTCATTCCTCTCCAGAGTGGAAGGTTTAGTAGATTAAGAAAAATAGTTAGCATTAGCTACAAATGTGACAGCTATGAAGTACCCATCTTTTCTATTTTTAATCAATTCAATGAATACTCCATCCTGTGATCTGAGAGGTTTCTAAAAATAAAGTAGTAATTGATGAATGTTGTGGTCACTAATCATGAAGACAAAAAATAAAAAAACTTCAAATTAAAAAAAGAACATTTTAATTACAAAGATTGAATAGCAAAGACACAAAGACCAAACATTTTACATCAGCACAAAACTGACTAGAAAAGTATAGATATAGCAAAAATGTATGTCCACATACAGCATAGAAGGTGGTTACCTTCTGAATTTGATACTCCTTTCTGGTTAGCAGCAATTTAGTGTTGCAGAGTTATTTCTCTCAAATGCCTATGTTCTGGGAAAGACACCCTATCCCCACACCAGTGGTTTGAAATGTGAACCACTATATCCAACAAGATGTTTCATCTCTTCCACCCAGGACTGACTTGGAAAAGTTATGCGGACTAACTCTGGCCAAAGAAGCATGAAGACTAGTCAACTGGGGTAAGTTTTAAGAATGGTAGTCCAATGATAAATAGTCATGAAAAATCCACATGCATTGTAGGATATTGTGAGCCAGTGTTGCCTGGAGATATGGATGCAATGTAGAGCTACATTTTTGAAAGTATGGGGAAAAAAGCTAATGCTCCAAAGAAGTATGTTAAATAACCAAGATACCAATGATTCTGAATCATTGAATTAACCAAACCCACAGATAAAAAATTGTTATCTATAAATTTTAGTTTTTAGTGTTTGATTCATTATGATTTGAACCTCCTATGACTTGCTGGTTAAAGCATCCTACTATGAGTCACCATTTAGGATATTTTTTTTCATATTTTATTAGTTGCAAAATTTACACATTTGTATACTTGGTTGACACATCAGAAAAGATATTGCATCTTACAACTGTGAGCATCTTTGATTCAGAAACTTTTAGAAAATTTTAGCAAAAATAAAATTAATTAATTGACTACAAATCATTGAATTCCATCCATGAACACTTTCTATTCGGAAAGGTTCATTGGACATGAGGGATATACTATGTTAACTCATAACTCTTTAGGGAAGATAAAGCATGAAGTATAATACTCGGCAGTATTTAAATAATGATAGTTTCCATTAGCTGCTATCACACCACCAGTAAAGCAAAGAAGACTCTTTTTCGGGAAGTATGCAAGGGGAAGATTCATTTGAAATAGGTTTTTAAGGGCCTACTAGACAAGTTAAATGCATTAGGCTAAGCAAATAACTCCTCCAACAAAGTCATAGGACCAACAGTGACCTCAATGTCTTTCAGGGACAATGAGGACCCCAAAAATGGGAAAATAGGAGATGGGTTGGAAGATTTCTTCTCCCAGGTTTTCTAAAGTGTGTGTGGGGGGTGGGTGTGGGTGTGGGTGTGGGTGTGTTTGTGTTTACAATTAGAGTTTTAGAGTTTAGACATACACATGTGAAACAGCATATGCACACAAGGCAGACAACAGCTTCACATTTGTTTAAAACAAGGTCTTTTTGTTGTCCCACACTGAATATACAAACCTAGCTGACTCCCAAACTCCAGGGATTCTCTTGCCTCAGCACCTTCCATATAATAGTAGGAAGAGTGGGACTGCAGACATGCATGACCGCATCCTGCTTTATGTGAGTTCTGGGGTTTGGACTTGGGTCTTCTTGCTTGCTTTACCCACTATACCTTTCCTCAGTCCTTCCATACTAATTCCTTTAAATTGTCATCTTTCTCTTGACATTCCATTGAAATTTATCAAAAACATGTCCTGATCCATCAAATGTCTTTAATTTGCTCCATAACATTTCCTTCCAGGAACTTAAGACAACACAGGACATCATTGAAAACTGCAACAGGACACTCACTGTCATAATAATTAAAAGGAAAGTCAAAACAATTCCATTATTTTACATGCCACCTCAGGCCAGTTATGTGACTCCATCTGGCATTCAAAGCAACCTCTTGGAGTAGTGAGGATTATTTTAATTATGTGGTAAATGAGTGCATGTACTCCCTGACTAAGTTCAGCTAGAAATCATAAACTAGATTTTCCTCTAGGTCTGCCTCATTCCCAAACCCAAGTTTATAACTTGCATAAAATATTGTCTCCCAACTTCACTGAGGCTGATTCCATGTTTAGCCATGCTGAAATGGGATTAGAGATAGTTTCCTCTTTCTTTTGATTTGTTCTTTTTCCAACACTTTATTTGCTTTCATGTGATATTTGCATTATATTATATGAAGACTATTAATGAGATATAGATAATATTTATTATTGAAAAATAGCCTATAATCCCACTTTATTTTTTAATTATTGAATAGCTTCATAAAGTTTATTCAATCCCAGATCATCAGCCAGCCAGTTACTTTACATCAGCCTAAATTATTTACTGTTCTTTGGGCCAAATTTCAACCTGTAAAGAACAGAGGGCTGAGCCTGATTGGGAATACATTTCTCATATGCATCATTAAGGGTATACATTTTATTTTATTCTCTACAAGTAACTTGTCACAGTGGCAACCTGGATTTCAGAAAGGTTTCTGTAGCTATACAGATTAAAAGTACAAGTAAAACAGAAATACGTGAACCCATCTATTTTCTCCTTTCAAATAATTTGAAACCCAAGTCATGCACTTTAGAGCTTTTTGAAGTGTAGACCAGTCTGGAACACCAAAGGCCACAAAATGCCATAGAAGTGAGAGTGGCTAGCTGACCTTTGAGTCAGTCTTGTCTGGCCACACTTACTCTGACCTGTATGGTTCAGTCCTTTTTACAGCAGCTTTAGAATTCCTTTACGTGGAATGCTTTTAAGTAACTACCCAATGACTGAAACAGTTCCCCTAACTGATCAGTACTTACTGCAGTGAAAAAACACAATGTTACAGACACAGCATGCCTGTTTAAAAGGCAATGAAAACATAAAACAGATAAACACGTGAAGAAGAATTCAGTCTTAAACACTAGATCAAAGCAAACTTCACACTGATTTGTATTTTACATTTAGAAGAAATTCACTAACAACCATTTTCCTTGTCAAAAGAGACCTTCAGATCAGTGTTGTGATTAAACACATGATATGGTGTGTTCCAAACTGTAGCTTATCCGTTTGTTTGTAATTAATTTTCTTCTTTGTAATCTCCGGACACTGACTCTTCTTTCTGACTCCCATTTAAATTCTGTAATGATTGCCCATTGACTTAAAAATTATCTTGGCCATATTACACAGGTACTCTGAGGAAATCAATGAGGGAAGTTGTAGCTATGATATTATTTGATTTTTTCTAAAATGGGATCATGTAAATATGACACCACATTGGGTAAAGAAAACATCCAGGCATCTGTGCCTGAATATGTCTGTAGGCGTGTGTGTGTGTGTGTGTGTGTGTGTGTGTGTGTGTGTGTGCCTATGTGTCTGTCTGTATGTGTCTGTGTATGTGTCCTCACTACAGGGATTGAAAAATTGAAATGGTGGCAATGTTTGTGAAAAAAAAAAAGCAATTTCATTTTGAAGAGAACAATTTTCAGCTCAAGTGAAACTAAAATAAAGGGTTAGGAAAAAGAAAAAGACAAACTTTGAAAGGAAACCAAAAGTTGGTCATGATGAGAATAAAACAATATTTTAGTAAGTACTGTAACTTTTTCCTTCTTTTGCTGTTATTAAGTGGATTCTAGTCATATCAAGATGTTTTATTTGAATTAAATAGTAAATATGCAAATAATAGATTCAGAACAGTTTCTCTTGTTCTAAACTAAGCCCTCCATGGATCACTCCTGCTGCTCCCCATCTACTCTGCTCCTCCCCTTCATCCCACAAGAATCTTTGCATTCAGCACTACCAGTGTGTTTACCCACCTGCTCTATCCAGCTGATATAACAACACACCTGCTATTAGGAATCGGGGTTTCTCTGTCATTCCACAACAAGAACATTAAGGTAGGATAACATTTTTTCAGCAATATCATTAGATTGGGCTAAAATTCCTGCCAAGTAGGAAATGTTTATTAGAGATGAGTTTGAAGAGAACACACTTCTCCCATTCAGGGACCAAAAATCAGGGACATATCAAGGAGACACAATTGTCCCTTTCTTCCTTCTATGACTGCTAATAACACATTAGTGAGGAAAGTTAAAGCAACTGAGCACACATGGTGAGAAGTAGCCCTGTGTCTCTTTACAAAATAATTCTGTGAGATGATAATAGTAAAATTATTTCGCAACCAAATATATTTACTTTTAATCACTGTGGAGATTCTAGAAGTCCTTATTTTGTAACATATTAGCACACATCAGCGAGCTACTGAGGAGGGATAAGGAAGTAGGAGACACTATGTTCAAGGTCTCCAAGTTTGATGGATCATGGAACACTACCTATACACTTTTTCTTCAATACAAATAAAAGGACAACTGTCATAATATATTGTTGTGAACTCCTAATTCAGTCACCATGGTAGCAGTGACAAGATTCTCAGGCTGTGAATGAATTCATTTTGTAGACTGGGATAGAAAGATTATTTTGTGGGTATACTGCAGGAATGCAATGGGATAGACATTGCTTAGAGCTCAACTTGCCATGGAAGACAACAGGTCTTCTCCCACACGATGGGCTGTCTTCATTTGGGAGAAGTATTTATTTAGTTAGGGTGAGTTTCTTTGTGTACAGGTTTCTGGGATTCAGTTCCCACCATGCAAAGGAGGTCATTCAAGATTGACCCATGAACACTTCTGGGAAGTTAGTGAGTCACTGTGTAATTTCTAGTTACAGAGCAAATAAGGACATCACTGGTTGATCCAAGTTCAGCCCTGGACAAAAGCTCAGAACACAGAGTTCTTGTGCCCAAATTTGTGCTGTTGGATTATACCACTTCACAGATGGCAGTTTGAGATTCCTGTACCAAATTTATAAGAATTCTCTAACTGGGTGCTGGATCTCTTTTCTAGTCTCTCATTTATGTTGTTTCCTAAACAAATAACAGTTTCATGTTTATATGGTGATTTAATTCATAGCCCCACTAGGGGAAAGCTCTAGGAAGATGATGTGTTCATCTACTATATCTACTCATTTTATTTCCAGGGCAGTGGTGTGACGGCACATAGATGCCGATGACTTAACTACTGTGAGTTCAATAGTTATGAATCAATAGTGCACATAGTGATAATAATTAATATCTGTCCTGACATCCTTGTCTTTCCAAAACAATATAGAGATGGGATTATATGGGCATGTGGTCTTTTGAGTCAGGCTTCTTTGTTGTAGCATGGTGTATCTAAGATGGATCTTTGTTGCTATACACAACGGGAGTTTATTCTTTGTCTCTTGTTCAGTAATACGCCATTAGATGAAAGAACTGTAATTTCTCTGAATTTAAAATGTTAGGTTTTTTATTGTTTTTACTTATGTGTATGTATAGTGCCCACAGAGACCAGAGGTGTCAGATTCCCTGGAGCTGGAGTTACAGGTTGTTGTGAACCCATGATGTGGGTGCTGAGACTCAA